AGGCAATGTCTAACCACGTGGGTGAAATGGCAACCTTCCATCTTGGGTGTTGCTCCGCAGCCTGACCAAAAAATAAAATTTGAACAATTGTGAATTTAAAAAAAAAATTTCTTCATCATAGTAAGACGCTTGCCAGAACTCAAAGTAATGTATCAGCACTGAGGCAACATTCACAAAAACCGCCAAAAATATGTTGTATCCAATAGATCCATTGCCTAAAAAAACTGTTATATCTGATGTATCCAGCAGATAAAAGCCATATCAGTCGTAAATATTGGAATAGAAAACCCTTTTTCAAATCATTTATATTGACTTCGCTTTGTGTTTAGAACAAAATATTCGGACGGTTAACTGACCCACTTCCCGTCAACCTATCGAGCTTAAACTAGGCACATAGACACGTTGCCGATGACAACACATGCTATCGAATTTTCAGCCCCATCTCCCAACCCCAAAAGTCTGTTTTTCCTGTTTTTTCAAGGAGAAGATAAAGTGGGATGTGATGCAATTGACTGCATGAAATAAAATTCCCGATCATTGAGCAAAATGAGATTTTTTTTTTAATATCGCAAGTGTATTTGGTGCGTAATGTTATTTTTTTTTAAATAGTTGTTGAAATAAATCTGCGGTTTAAAAGTGGGTGGGACAATAAAATATTAATTTTTTTTAAATAATAAAAAAGGATATTTTATTTTTTTTTTTTTTTTTTTACGAAAAAGGTTGTTTTCATGCGTTGTTTAATTCTGCATTAAATAAAGTCAGACTTTTTACAGCGAGTTTTATACCTTCGCTTAATTTTGGAACAATTAAAAGTAAAGAATAAATCCTTAGGGGGGAAAAAAAACATTAAAACATCCCCTTTGGTCTGTCTCGCCATACAGTTGAAAATCAGCTGCTGTGGTCGAAATACATCTGCTTCCACACCATCGATACCAACTCAACTTTCTCACATTGTTTTAAACATGCGTGACGTAAACCACACTTTGAAAGAAAACTTAATAATATTAAGTGGGAGGCATTGTAAAATAGTCGGATGAAAGACCTCGTTTGTAAATAGGGGGAACTATTTAACAGGGGACAAAGGCGAAATTAAATGAATGCTTGAGATTACCTTTGCCTGACGTACATTACGCCATTTCAGATTTTCAGCGGAAGTGATACATTTTTTGGTGTAGCTCGAATTGCGTCATTAAATTTTGAGCAATTAAAAACTACAACGCGCTACAAAAGAAAAGATTGCAGATAAGGGAACAAATAGAGGTGGTAATAATTTGTAGCTCTATAGAGCAGTGTTCTAAAAATTCTCAACATTTTTAGGACATTTAGCTTACTGTAATTTCACTTAATTGACAATAAAACATGACACAATGTATAGAACAAAATACCATTCATACGTATGTCACCTTTGTATACAACATAATTAATTAATGAGGCTCAGCTTTAAAAAAAAATATTAGGTCGATTGCTTTAAAAAGAATGAAAGAGAATAAAATTTAGTTGAATAGAATAGAGTATAGTAGAATAGAACATAATATAGAAGAATAGAAAATAATAGTTTAGAAAAAAAGTAGAATAGATGAGAATAGTATTACTTTGATAATTTTTGTTTAATGGAGTACTATTACTATAGATTTTTCATCAATTATTCTCAAATCAAAATGTAAATCCAAACTCATTAAGATGTAAATAACATTTGATGACTTGAGGCACTGTAATAGGCTAGAAAAATATTAATTATTTTTTTAGCAAAGGTAATACATTTTCTTTAGGCCATTTGAAATTTTTTTTTCACAAACTATTTTAAAAGCTAGACAAAATTTATCGTGTAGGAAAAATAATTTCATCACCAAATTCTAAGAAAAAACAACAACAGGATATTAGTTTTTAAAAAAATATATATCAAAACTGAAACTGTTTAAGTATATTTTAGCTTACAGACGTCCATCTATCCATGTGGCGCCATGAAAGCCTAGGACTCCCCGTAAGCCTTTTTCCCTCTGGGCACCCTCTTCACTCCTCTCTCGTTTGAGATGCTTGCCCAAAGTAGTCTAACTTTTTCTCATTATATCTGCTACAAGCGTGGGATCCTGAAATAGACTGTACAATTCCTGGTTGGTTCGTATTCTCCATACATAGTCATCCTTGTTGGTCCATATATTCTCAGGAGACCTTTTCCCTCACCTATTTTTAAAATTATTTCTCCCGTTTTCTTTAGGGTCCAAGTTTCACTTGTGTACGTTACAACTGGTCTGATTGCAGTTTTATATACAGCTTTATTTGTTGTTGTTTTTCTTGTGATGTTTATACTTCTGAGTACTTTCTGACTACTGAAGTATGCCTTGTTTCGGATTGGTATGCTTTCTTTTATTTTTGTCAGTAATTCGTTTCTTTCATCTGTTAAGGATCCCAGGTATTTGAATCGATTTACTTTTTTTCAAAAGTGTGGCTTCTACATTTAATGGTTTCACAAGTCCGCTCTTCTCCTATCATAGTCATGTATTTTCGTTTGGGTTGTTAGCTTCCAACCCTGCTTGTAGTGATGCGTCTTCTAATTCAACAAACGCGTTTGATAGTATGTCTTTACCACGTTTCCCTGCAAGTGCTGTGTCATCAACGTATGCAAGATGCCGAAGGGGTTTGTTTGTTGAGCCTGCCTAATGGTTGTGGGTCATCCTCAGAAAGAATCCTGTTATTGTTCCGCGGGTGTCAATATGTATGCTTTTTATAACTGTCATTAATGTTATAAGTTAAATATCATACAAGACAGTGAGTCTCCTTGTCTTAGGCCGCGTCTAATCTGCAATTTCCGTGAATGTTCTTTGTGAACCTTATTATTATATTTTTTTCTTTTTTGAGTTGTTTAATTTTACGTGCATCACTGGTGTCCGTTTGTTGGGTATGCCAAACTCGTGTAGAGTCTCAAATAGATGTTTTCTTTTGATGCTGCCATGGACCATATTATAGTCCACATAGAGTTGATGTAACGGAATATTATATTCCTGTAGATGAGCACTCTATTAAGTCAACAGTTTTTGAATGGAATGTATACGAAATTAAAAAAAAAATTTTTTTTTAATAATTATAAAAAAATATTTTCTTAACAGCATTTTAAGAAATTTTTATTTTTTCTCCTACTTTCACTGCGTTTAAACATCTCCTTTGATATAAAGCCTTTTTTTTTAAATGTTTCTCAAATATTTTTTTTTTAATTCTTAAAATTGAATATCTAGATTATCAACATAAATAGAATTATTTAATTTTTTTTTTTTTTTAAAATCGAATGCTTTCAAAATCCTAGTGGAAATTAGACTACGTTCATCTTTACCGAGACATAAAACTAATGTTTTAAAAAGTTGATCTGAGCGGACCCACCAACCCGTTCAAGCAGTCGGAAAGCAGACACAGTCCACAACGAAAATTGAAGCTCTTTCTACTCGACCCCACCCCCTTCCCCCGGGGCTACGCCAATGTATCCGTTGTAAAATCAAATCTAAGAGATCTCATAGCAGACGAGTCGTTTTGATGGAGCATCTGCTTTACTTTCAGTGAGTAATGGTCCATATCACCAGAATGAACTTCGCCCAAGTCTTCGTCAGAACAAAATGCTATCACTACGGGATCGGTGCATCTGGGTGGTTTAATCAAGATATTAATCACAAAACAATTTCTTCTGACCATGGAATCAATTTTTACGGGAGCTCCCCCGCCCCCCCCCCCATCATTTTGATCTTTTGTCAAATATTTCCAAACACATTTTGTTGAACTCAATAATTTTAAAGATGTATTTTTTTATTTTTTTGGTTAAGTTTTTTTTTTTTACTTCTCAAAACAAATAATACAATTGTTAACGTAAAATGTTGTTAAATATTTCAGTAATATTAATTTAAATTGATTTGGCCAAGTGGTGTAGGCAAGGGCCGGTCCGCAACGGTTGGTATTTTTTTTCTTTATATCGAGGAGGGTGGGTGACATTGACTGCCAACTGCAGAGTTTGTTTTTTTTTCACTGAAGCTTGCGGAAAATTTCTCTAGTGGCCCCGGACGGTACTAAAACTGGACATTCACGCATCCGTTCGTCACAATTATGAGACGATGGTGCTTCGTAAGAAAGAAATCCCAAGATCTGTGATTTTAGTTTTAGGAGAGTCAGCCGATTCCCTAGACAGCAAATCGCCTCTCCCCCAATCACCTGGATAAACACCAAAGGAACATCATGTTAGGATGATACAGCTTTCCTCTCCCCCAATCACCTGGATAAACGCCAAAGGAACATCATGTTAGGATGATACAGCTTTCCTCTCCCCCAATCACCTGGATAAACACCAAAGGAACATCATGTTAGGATGATACAGCTTTTCTCTCCACGAATCACCTGGATAAACACCAAAGGAACATCATGTTAGGATGATACAGCTTTTGCACCAGTGGCGTCGCATGAGATGCCGGAATGTTTCACTGCATCAATGTTATCCGCCTACTAGACGCCTTCTCCGGGTTTGAATTCAGAGTTGTTCCATCTCAAAGATGAGTTGCTATCCGCAAGTCCTATCCACCCTTCCACTGATTAGGGTCAATAACATCGACATTGCTTACTTTAAGTTGTCGGTTTCAGATCGTTATTATGGCCATATGTTAAGTTGTTTTCTTGTTGTTTGTTTGTTTGTGCCATTGTTTTAAAATAGTGAATGTCATTTTTCTTTGCTGGAACAGTCTCGTTTCAAGCCATCGTTGCTGCCCGGCCCGCGTGTGATTTCCTTATTAAGCTATCCGGCTTCACAGTTGATGAGCTCAGTTTGGCCCGCCTGGTGAATATCGCTTGTGTTGTGGCTCAAACTTGTCTTTACTGATGTTCTTTTTTAACAATGTAAATCTATTTAAAATCTCAGCAGAGGCGTCGCTAGTGTTAGTTTCCAAACGAGGTGGGGACAAAATTCAGACCCCCCCGCACCCCCAATCCAATGAATTTACAGCTCTGCAGTGGGCTGAAAATGCTGCTCATTCACTAACAAAGTAAGCGATACCCGACCGACCACACGCTCTACTCCCTCCGTGCCGTATCCCTACCGTAACTCATTAGTCAGTGATGATGAGTAAATTTATTGGCGTGGTCTGTACAGCTTCACTGTGTACATTCGTTAAAGTGGTATGTTCAACTGCTTTTACTGCGTCCATTTGTTGGAGAGGTATGTACAGCTTTTACTGCGTCCATTTGTTGGAGAGGTATGCACAGCTTTTACTGCGTCCATTTGTTGAAGATGTATGTACAGCTTTTACTGCGTCCATTTGTTGGAGAGGTATGTACAGCTTTTACTGCGTCCATTTGTTGCAGTGGAATGTACAGGTTTTACTGCGTACATTTGTTGAAGAGGTATGTACAGCTTTTACTGCGTCCATTTGTTGGAGAGGTATGTACAGCTTTTACTGCGTCCATTTGTTGAAGAGGTATGTACAGCTTTTACTGCGTCCATTTGTTGCAGTGGAATGTACAGGTTTTACTGCGTACATTTGATGGAGTGGTGCGTACAGCTTCTACTGCGCATCACCCCAGCATACGTTAATCACGCAAGGTCAGCAATTACCCATGACGTTTATCAGCCGGCTGCTGCCAAGGACGGTCTTTGTCCTCACAGTCTGCTGTGGCGATCGTTTGTTATAATAAACAACGAATTAAAAAAATGGTGAGGATTATTAATCGTCACTTAAATTTAGCAAGGGCGAGTGGGAATCACATGACCCGGTCGTGGGGTCCCACGTAAATGACATTCTTTTACATGCAAGCAAGAACTCATTTGGAGGAATGTAAAAAAGCATTGCTATCAATAGCCTGAACGGAGAACCGCGCACGGTGCTTACTGCGATTGGAGGATGCTTCCATCTCTCCATCCCTTCCCCTATCTCTTTCTTTCTCTCTTTTTCTTTCTCTAGCTCTCTCCCTTCCTCTCTCTCTCTTTCTCTCTGTATTGCTCTCTCCACTCTCTCCCTCTCTCTCGCTCTCTCCACTCTCTCTCTCTCTCTCTCTCTCTCTCTCTCTGTCTTTTTCTGTATCTACATCTCTTCAATATGTCTCTATTTTCCCTCACTTTCATCCGAGTCTCTCGCCGCCCACTCATCTGTTTCTTTTCTTTCTCTGCCCCACTGTTTTCATTCTTTCTTTCTCTCTACCCGCTTTCGGTCTCTCTCTTTCTCCCAAACAAACTCACACATAAGCACTTTAAAAGCTTAGTTATTTGAAGTGAGGGGGGGGGGGTCTGAAAACCGTCATGTTTTGTTTTTTTTAAAAATCTTTTCATGCACATTTATGTTGCACTCTACTTTGTGAGCAGGAGGTGAGGGTGAATGGCTAAAACAAGGTGGATATATCCTCGGTATCTATCTCAGAGATTATTTTCAAAACTTCGCATTCCCCAAATGTTAGCCCCCCACCTCCCTCCCCCCCTCCCCCCCCGCCCCCAATGTTTTGTTAAACACGAAGCTAGCTGATAGAGTCATCTCAACGAATAACCACACGCCAGGCAATGAACGCCACGAGGTGTAGGTATCATGTCAATGAATTCAGTGAAATCATAAAATACCTGGTCGATATATTTCATTTCTTTTGTGCTCTTGTCATTGTTGTTGTTGTTGTCATTATTGTTGTTGTCATTGATGTTGTTGTTGTCATTGTTGTTGTTGTCATTGTTGTTGTTGTCATTGTTGTTGTCATTGTTGTTGTCTTTGTTGTTGTCATTGTTGTTGTTGTCATTGTTGTTGTTGTCATTGTTGTTGTTTCATTGTTGTTGTTTCATTGTTGTTGTTGTCATTGTTGTTGGTGTTATTGATGTTGTTGTCATTGTTGTTGTTATCATTGTTGTTGGTGTTATTGTTGTCGTTGTCATGGTTGTTGTTTTCATTGTTGTTGTTGTCATTGTTGTAGTTGTCATTGTTGTTGTTGTCATTGTTGTTGGTGTTATTGTTGTTGTTGTCATTGTTGTTGTTGTCATTGATGTTGTTGTTGTCATTGATCTTGTTGTCATTGTTGTAGTTGTCATTGTTGTTGTTGTCATTGTTGTTGGTGTTATTGTTGTAGTTGTCATTGTTGTTGTTGTCATTGTTGTAGTTGTCATTGTTTTTGTTGTCATTGTTGTTGTTGTCATTGATGTTGTTGTCATTGTTGTTGTTGTCATTGATGTTGTTGTCATTGTTGTTGTTGTCATTGTTGTTGTTGTCATTGATGTTGTTGTTGTCATTGATGTTGTTGTCATTGTTGTAGTTGTCATTGTTGTAGTTGTCATTGTTGTTGTTGTCATTGTTGTAGTTGTCATTGTTGTTGTTGTCTTGTTGTAGTTGTCATTGATGTTGTTGTTGTCATTGATGTTGTTGTCATTGTTGTAGTTGTCATTGTTGTAGTTGTCATTGTTGTTGGTGTTATTGTTGTAGTTGTCATTGTTGTTGTTGTCATTGTTGTTGTTGTCATTGTTGTAGTTGTCATTGTTGTTGTTGTCATTGTTGTTGGTGTTATTGTTGCTGTTGTCATTGTTGTTGTTGTCATTGTTGTTGTTGTCATTGATGTTGTTGTTGTCAGTGATGTTGTTGTCATTGTTGTAGTTGTCATTGTTGTTGTTGTCATTGTTTTTGGTGTTATTGTTGTAGTTGTCATTGTTGTTGTTGTCATTGTTGTAGTTGTCATTGTTGTTGTTGTCATTGTTGTTGTTGTCATTGATGTTGTTGTCATTGTTGTTGTTGTCATTGATGTTGTTGTCATTGTTGTTGTTGTCATTGTTGTTGTTTTCATTGATGTTGTTGTTGTCATTGATGTTGTTGTCATTGTTGTAGTTGTCATTGTTTTAGTTGTCATTGTTGTTGTTGTCATTGTTGTAGTTGTCATTGTTGTTGTTGTCATTGTTGTAGTTGTCATTGATGTTGTTGTTGTCATTGATGTTGTTGTCATTGTTGTAGTTGTCATTGTTGTAGTTGTCATTGTTGTTGGTGTTATTGTTGTAGTTATTGTTTTTGTTGTCATTGATGTTGTTGTCATTGTTGTTGTTGTCATTGTTGTTGTTGTCATTGATGTTGTTGTTGTAATTGATGTTGTTGTCATTGTTGTAGTTGTCATTGTTGTAGTTGTCATTGTTGTTGGTGTTATTGTTGTAGTTGTCATTGTTGTTGTTGTCATTGTTGTAGTTATCATTGTTGTTGTTGTCATTGTTGTTGGTGTTATTGTTGTTGTTGTCCTTTTTGTTGTTGTCATTGATGTTGTTGTTGTCATTGATGTTGTTGTCATTGTTGTAGTTGTCATTGTTGTAGTTGTCATTGTTGTTGTTGTCATTGTTGTAGTTGTCATTGTTGTTGTCATTGTTGTTGTTGTCATTGATGTTGTTGTCATTGTTGTTGTTGTCATTGATGTTGTTGTTGTCATTGTTGTTGTTGTAATTGTTGTTGTCATTGTTGTTGTTGTCATTGTTGTTGTTGTCATTGTTGTTGTTGTCATTGTTGTTGTTTCATTGTTGTTTTTTCATTGTTGTTAATGTCATTGTTGTTGGTGTTATTGATGTTGTTGTCATTGTTGTTGTTGACATTGTTGTTGTTGTCATTGTTGTTTTCATTGTTGTCGTTGTCATTGTTGTTGTTGTCATGGTTGTTGTTGTCATGGTTGTTGTTGTCATTGTTGTTTTCATTGTTGTCGTTGTCATTGTTGTTGTTGTCATGGTTGTTGTTGTCATGGTTGTTGTTGTCATGGTTGTTGTTGTCATCGTTGTTGTTGTCATGGTTGTTGTTGTCATCGTTGTTGTTGTCATGGTTGTTGTTGTCATCGTTGTTGTCGTCATTGTTGTTGTTGTCACTGTTGATGTCATTGTTATTGTCGTATTTGTTGTTTTTGTCGTATTTTTTGTAATTGCCATTGGTGTTGTTGTTGTTGTTTTTGTATTAATTGTTATCGTTGTACGTTTTGTTGTCATTGTTGTCATTGCTGTTGTCGTTTTTGTTGTCATTGTTGTCGTTGTAGGTGTTGTTGTCATTGCTGTTGTCGCTGTTGTCGCTGTTGTCGTTGTTGTCGTTGCTGTTGTCATTGTAGGTGTTGTTGTCGTTGCTGTTGCCATTGCTGTTGTCATTGATGTTGTCGCTGTTGTCGTTGTTGTCGTTGTGGTCGTTGCTGTTGTCATTGTTGGTGTTATTGTTGTCATATTTGTTGTTGTTTGTTCTTCGTATTAAATATTTTTTTACATTTTCATTCCTCTTTGTGTATGTTTTTGTTCCTGTGTGTGTTTATGTGTGTGTGTTTATTTGTGTGTGTTGATGTGTGTGTGTTGATGTGTGAGTGTTGATGTGTGTGTGTTGATGTGTGTGTTGATGTGTCTGTGTTGATGTGTATGTGTTGGTGTGTGTGTGTTGATGTGTGTATGTTTATGTGTGTGTGTTGATATGATGTAACATAAATATTCTTCAGCGAACAGGACAAATAGAAGTACGACAAAAAAACTGAGCTCAGTAAAAAAAAAAACAACTTTAGAGATCTCAATGTGTTGTTGGAAGTAGGTTTATAAGAAGTTAAAGAAAATAAATATTGGTACAGTTAAAAATAACGTATAATATTTTAACGGACCAAACTGTTTAGGGAGGGATACATTAAATCTAAGGCATAAGGAAAAAAAAAAGAAGAACATAAAAATTGAGAAACATAAGAAAGAGAGTATTTGATTGATACCATATTGAGAAATGGGGCAGAAAAGCTGAATACATTGTTTCCCATTTTAACTCTCTCTGGTGTATTTGTGCAAGAAATTAGGGCTGTAATGGTTACATCTAATGCCCCTTTATGTTGCTCTCTGTTGAAGTGTGAAGAGACTGGGGAAAGTTTACCTTGTTCAATATCCGGAAGATGTTCTGTGAACTTATCTGCCAAGCCTCTCCCTGTTTCGCCTATTCAACTAGAATGACATCTACGGAACACAATCACATATTTCACATTCCGACTATCGCATCTGAAACCCTCTTTGATGGTAAAGGTAACGTTAGGGAAGCCAACGTTCTTGGTTTGGAGCGTAAAGGGACAAGTCCTACATCGGCTTCTTGAGCATGGTTTAGTCCCAACGTAAGACGTGTCAGCTGGAAGGCGCCTTTGAACCTAGATTTTGGTCCTTCAGTTATCTCATAGTTTGAATGCAATCCTTCAATTATTTCCTATTTATTGTTAATATGCTCTTAAGAGATACCACTCAATTTTATATTTGAAATGCAGGCATTTTTTATTATCGCTTTTATCGCACCTTTTAAGAGATATTTTTTGGTCCAATTGTTTGTATATATTTCTTTTTTTTTTCTGTTTAGGTCTGCGACTTTATACTTTATCGCTAAGGTTTAGGTTAGCCTTAAGATTTTTTTACACGTATATCCAATTTCAATCACGTGAAGACCTTCAGATGATCAGTTTGTCCATTCCTCCACGTACTCTCCAAGTTCAATCACGTGGAGACCTTCAGATGATCAGTTTGTCCATTCATACACGTCCTCTCCTAGTTCAATCACGTGAAGACGGTCAGGTGATCAGTTTGTCCATTCCCCCACGTACTCTCCAAGTTCAATCAGATGAAGACCATCTTATCATCAGTTTGTCCTTTCCCCCATGCACTCTCCAAGTTCAATCACATGAACACCATCTTATCATCAGTTTGTCCTTTCCTTCACGTACTCTCCAAGTTCAATCACGTGAAGACCTTAATGTCAAAGTGCTGCTGCTTGTATCGCAAACTACGAGCTTGGGATTTTTAATTTTTTTTAATTTCTGCTTGGCGTGGGGATTTTATATTTTAAGGACGTCTTGTTTGTCTTCAATACAGAGTTTTGGACTTTGAAGACCCTGGCTATGAAACTTCGTGAAGCCATTACACATTTCCAAAGACTTGTTTCTTCACCAAATGCAGAGTAGAGGGATTTGCATAAAAAAATTACCACTGCTAAAGGAAGTCGTATCAGAATCGAACATTTAGCGGATGTTTTAAAGGAAGCCGCAATAGGCAAAGAATGTCGCACTAACCAAAGAAAGTCGCAATGCGAAAAGAAAGTCGCAATAGGCACACAAAAAAGCCACAATAGGCAAAGAAAGCCGCAATAGGCAAAGAAAGCCGCAATAGGCAAAGAAAGCCGCAATAGGCAAAGAAAGCCGCAATAGGCAAAGAAAGCCGCAGTAGGCAAAGACAGTAGCAATGTACAAAGAAATGGTCAGTCAGAATATGAACTTAGAGACGAGACCAGGTTTGAAAATTCAATAAAAAAATAATTTTTGACAAAAATTCTAATATATCCGAACACATTTAGTGACAGGCATACATTTTAAAGGGCACATGTTGACCATTAATTTGTTGAAACATTGAAGATAAAGTTGCTTGTTTCTTTGTTGTTTTTTTTTTTTAAACATCATGCGGCCATCGTTCTTTAACTCTTTTGTTCTATATAAAATCACAAATAAAAAAGGGCACATGTTGACCATTAATTTGTTGAAACATTAAAGATAAAGTTGCTTGTTTCTTTGTTGTTTTTTTTTTTTAAACATCATGCGGCCATCGTTCTATAACTCTTATGTTCTATATAAAATCACAAATAAGATTATGAGTCTATTAAATTGACTCTATAATGCCATATAAGAATGAGAAATTGAGGCTATTTTTAGAGATAATATAATTGTGTGGCATTCCCACCACTTTCCTCCTCCTACAATTGTCAAAAGCACACAAGAATAAAGCACAAACACTGATATCCCTTCTCCTAATCTTTTTTTTTTCCGCTTAAAAATTGTATGTGTAAACTGTCTCAGTTTTATGGGCATCCTAAAGTTCATATGAAGATTCACGGACAAGTCATTTTACGTCAAAATGTTACTGAATGTCCGTAAATTAACAAGCGGTCGGCAACCCTGGACGAGACACAGCAGACGCATGAGGAATCTTTCAGGATAAAATATTTATTGTGGTTAAGTAGAACGACGGTTGGGATTTTTGAAGACTTCCATAAATTGTAACTCTACTTCGACATCATTGACTTCTTCTGCGGTATTCGGCAACTCCGCACCATGAGTTTGGAATGGTTGAGCAAACGCTGTGCGGATGGAGACAAGGCCTTGAGAGGGTTGTGTTTCATGGGATATAGATGGTTGGGAATCACATTAAAAACTGAAGAACTCGATAGGAAAGATTGGAGGAGACTTACAAACATCCTATCGTCGTGTTCAACTGCGTGTGTCGCTGGCAGATTCTTTTCCTATAACTGCGAGCAAGTACAAAATAATGCTGACAGGGAAAAAGAACATGTTGTTTTTTTAAAATTAAATTTTATTTGAAATCGAGATGAAAACTTACTTGAAATCATCAATGTCTCAGGTTTCATCAACGGATGATGGATAGTGGACATTATCAACTGAACGAGACATTGTTACCACCCTTTACGATGATGAAATCATTGAATAGTATGCCAACAAAAAGGCGAAGAATTTGATTTTTCGCATTAAACCCGTCTGGAGTATTTTTACACCTCTTAATTTTTCGCTTGTGTTTCGAAAAAAAATGTTTTTCAATATTTTTATTTGGTTGACGATTGAAATCCTATAGTTTTATAATCAATTTTTATGTCTCTCAAAAAAAAAAAAAAAAAAGAAAAAAAAACAAACTAATTTCGAAAAAAAATGTTTTTCAATATTTTTATTTGGTTGACGATTGAAATCCTATAGTTTTATAATCAATTTTTATGTCTCTCAAAAAAAAAAAAAAAAAGAAAAAAAAACAAACTATTGTGCCTTCTTTCCATTATTGAGGTTGTGGATCTTAACTGAGAATTACAGAATCCCAACACAAGTTTATTTCTCTCGTGGCGCCATAAGAACACGTCATTCGTTCTCTCATCCGTCGCAAGCTATCTCGGCTTTACTTAATTAACTCTGATACGATAAGATCTTTCAAGTCTTCTCTGTTTAACTCACGATAACATGTTTAATTTTTTTTTTTTTTTACATCATGCAGTCAGAAGAGCAAATAGCTTATTTAGCTTCAAGTTCTTTTTTTTTTGTTGTGGTTGTAAGTTGGTTTTTGTTTTTTTTTGTTTTTTTTTTTTTTTTTTGTTTTTTTAAGTTTTTTTTTTTTTTTTTTTTTTTTTTTTTTTGTTTTTTTTTGTGTTTTTTTTTACAAGTACGAGATTAACAAAAAAACTAATCCCCTATGAGCTATTGGACTCAGGGAAACTCCATCGTTACAGTTAATTTTAAAAAAAAAAAAATTAAAATTTCCGAAACTAGACGAGTGAATAAATATCCGGTATGACGTGTCCCATTGTGACCAGTGGTCCTAGTAGGACTAAGATGTGTCTTTAAATCAAATCGGCTGAGGTAGCCAGTATAAAGTAAAGAGGATCCGGAAAAATCACTTTCTCCCTAGGACTCGCATCCCCCATAGCGTCGGCCCTGTTGCTGGGCAACCAACATGAATGTGTCACGAATGGGGGAGAATAAAAGTCTTTAGAAGAAAGTTTCATTGTTGTGGAGAGTTTGTGAAGCTCTGATCTACACTAATGCAATGGCCATAAGCTACATCTGAAACACACTTATTTTTCTTTATATTGTGCTTACATTTTTGTCTTCCCACAATGCCATAGGTTTTACCCTATTCCCCAGCTTTTCCGCAATGCCCAATGTTTTTTTCCAGTGCTCTTGGTTTTCCCCAATGTCCTAGTTTTTTCCCCCCAATGTCCTTTGCTTTACCAAATTCCATATGTTTACCGCGCAATACCTAAGCCTGTAGATAGCAGACGCAGTCTACCATTACGTTGCCTAAATCCAGCACGACAATAACCGAATGAGACGCTCATCTTCTATGCGGGTACGGGACAGTGACGCCGACGTCCGTGCCTATAAAAAGATGTGTCCCATTCACAAAGCCCATGTTCAAGACACACGTGCGAGACACACGTGCTTCCATTGACGAATCATCTCGGGTATTTACACTCATGTTTTGTGTTTTTGTATCTACTGTTTGTTTTAAAGAGTCCGTCCCAGTAGTGATAGTTATTCAACCAGCCTCGTTGTTTTTTTGGGGGGGGGAGATATTACCATCGAAATGATCAACATAAAAAATCCCTTGTTTTGGAAGTTCAGTAAATTACTCGGGTCATATGTGTGTGTGTGTTTTTGTTTTTTTTTTTTTTTTTTTTTTTTGGGGGGGGGGGTTGTTTGGTGTTAAAAGTAGTTTTTTTTTTTTTTAAATGATTTTTATATTACATTATATTTTCTAAAACATATCCTTAATTTTTTTATGTGATTTGAACGCGATGATTCGGTTCTTCTAACAATGGACTGAATCATTTCCTACTGCTCCGTCCAATCAAGGTAACTTAGAGAAAAAGTCATGCACCGTGTTTTCTGACATAGGCTTGAAGTTGTCAGGTTTGGCTTCCATTTCTCAACAGGCACAGAGGTGTTTCTGGACTGATACAAAGATTTTTAGGTTATAAATTTATTATAAACAAATTGATAGAATTTAAACAAAAAAATTTTTTTTAACAAAATTGATGGCAAGAAAATATTTGTCATACCTAATCGCGCTATTAAAGTTTAGGGGTTTAGAGTTATTGGACAGAACATAACAATTCTATAAATTCATCTTATAGTTAAATTTATGTTATAGTTATGTGATTTATTTAACTTATAAAGGGGGCTATTATAATAAGATTGGATGGTGACCATAATTTCATGTTGTTGTGACCATAATTTCATGTTCTGGAGACACTAATTATCGTCATGTTGTGGTTGCCCTTATGTCATGTTGTGGTTGCCCTTATGTCATGTTGTGGTTGCCCTAATGTCATGTTAGGCTGATCATAATTAATTTCATGTTTAATATGTGCATATTTATCATGTGATATTTGCGTTGTCCAGCGTTTGGATTACCATCAGCTCATCCAGCTAGCAGGCGCTTTCTACCATTTACCATTGTGTGTAAATCAACCTCCTTAGCAGAAAGATGTAGCACAAAATCTGAACCGAATGAACGTTCTAAAACAAGAACCAAATCAGAACAAATTGTTAAAAAGTGCCCGATTTTAAAGACAACAAATAATTCCATTTGGCTATTTCAACACATTTTGGCGAGTATAAATATAATAAAAATGTATAATACAATATATAATACAATTTATAATACAATTTGACTATGAGATTAAAGACAATGCGATTAGTTATAAATTTTATGATGCCAAAGTGCTGTAAATCACTTTCCAGGCAACCCCCCCCCCTTCCCCATTTTCTTCCCCATGGTAGATGCGCTTCTGGTTAATTTAGTTGTCTTATTCGAGGCATTAAAAAAAAAATGTTGAAGTGAAACATAAAATGAAATTCAACATGGCGTTTCTTTAAAAACTTTGAAAAGGCTTGCACCAAATGTGTCAAACAAAACACACAAGAATGCCATGCCGTTGACAATAAAATATAAGCCATTAACATTACAAAAAGACTTCTTAAACAGTTTTTCTTCCCCTATTACAGCACCAATGAAGCGCGGCTATTGTCATGCAGGGAAGGGAAGTGGAGTTGAACGCCTCTTAGCACAATAAAAGTAATGCCAACCAGTTAAAGAAAACGTTCTGAGAAACAGCGGTTCCCAACTTTAAAAAAAAAATTTCATTGAGCTTTTACCTCAAAAGTAGAAATCTGCGAAATAAGCAACAATTTAAAAGATATATATATATATATATATATATATATATTATTTAGAATTAAGATTTTTCATGAAAAAACAATGCATAACATTATGTAACCAGTGATAATTAAATTACCGACAAAGTGATTTGGATAAACAGTTTGGGAATCGCTGAAGTAGAAATTAAGCGAAACGTTGTACTTAATTCAAACCAACGAGGAGACGGTCGAAAACGTGTTTGAAACAAGGTTAAACCAAAATACTCAACAGCTTATAGGAAATGGCTCTCAAAACAGCTTCATAATGAAACAGCCTTGAAGATATTATTATTTTTTTTTTTTTAAATGTCGTCTTTTTTTAAAATTGACTCATTATTAAAACGCTTATTTAAAATGTCGACTTGTAAATCCGACTCGTTCTTGAATTTTAAAACTGACCATATATTTACATTAAAAGAGATTAATATTTATCAATTGAAGGTAATTTATAAACTTTGTTTTTTTTTAGATTTTCTTTTTTTTGTTCCGTTTTATTCATGAGGAATATGCATTTTTTTTTTTAGATTTGTCGTGCTGGGGTTTGATTTTTTAATAATTTTCTTAAGATAAAAGAAAAATGTCTACAATAATCTCTTGTAGCATATTCCTTCTAATGGTTGATTAAATAAGTCAGGTGTTCCAAGGGTTCTCACAGCGGAGAAACGCATCCGTGCGGGAAATGCTTCCTCCATTGCACGATATGTGGAAACTGACACTTGGGCCTGCAACGGTTCATTGTGAACTTTGATGCGTATGTTTTCTATTAGGCCTGCGGAGCGACATTGAACGCCTGAACAATTATGTTTTAACATGTTTTGATGAATGAAATGATGCTTTCCTACAAGCAAGTCGTGTCTCTACTTGAATAAATATAAATTCAACAATTAAAAAAAAAATTAACTAGAAGATGCATTGCCAGCCACGTAAGCCATCACATTCCTTCAGCCACGTAGGCTTTTACATTCCCTCAGCCACGTAGGCTATCACATTCCTCCAGCCACGTAGTTTATCACATTCCTCCAGCTACGTGGGCTATCACATTCCTCCAGCTACGTGGGCTATCACATTCCTCCAGATCCAGCCCCATAAGCTATCACATTCCTCCATAGTAGTCTTCAATTATGAAATGTTATCGCAAAGCTCTTCACCATGACTTTCATGGTACCTCAGAGTAGACACAAACGATTATTTTTGTATTTCCTTTTCGTGGGGTTAGGGGCACTTTAAAAAAACAAGAAACATGTAATGGTTATCAAATAAACTTAAATAATTATTGAGAATGAACAAGATTACTTAGTTGAGAAGGATCAGTCGTGTCTTTTGATTCATAGTAACGTGGGATTGTTATATTGTCTTTGTTTGTTATTGTTTTTTGTGGTTTTTGTTCTTGGTTGTTTGTTGTTGTTTTTTTTTGTCTTTATTTTTGATTGTATTGTTGTTTTGTCTTTGTCTTGTTTTAGTACACATAATTGATCCCCTTGACGAATATCTTCCCATAACTTGAAGAATTCTAATTGCCACATTAACCGAATTGTAACCGAGCGGATTGTTTTTTTTTATAAACCCTCTCCACTGACGTGAATGTCAAGGGCTTTTGTTGTTAAGAAATGCAGGAGAAATAAAAGCTATAGCAGAAGCTAACAGACCAAGAATTATCTTAAAAGGAGCCACAAGCATGATTTGTAAACGTACGCATTGGTTGGCTTGTCGTGGGGGGTCGGCTGGGGTTGGACAATCTTTGCGTAAGGGTTGCATGGTTAAAGTGACTCATACCAGTTCCCCCGCACCTTCCCCCCCCCAGTATAAAGCACACATGCACACACGCGCAGACAGAGACACACAGACACACACAAACAAGCGCTTGATCTTCGTGGATGAATGCGCTGGAACTTTACAAAATCTGCTATGGTTGTGGGGGGAGGGGGGTGGTGGGGTGCTGAAGGAACATGATAACCTACGTGGCTGAAGGACTGCTAGGGTGCAGGGGTTGTCGGAAATGTTAGGCAAGCGTTGAAGGGAAGGGCTGTTGAGAGACTAAAACATTTACTCGAGTGTACGTACGTACGCAATAGTAGGAGGAATATGACGGACTTTGTACGTGTCCAAGTTTAATTACTGCTTTCGAAATGAGACGCTTTTTAAAAAAAAAATCATGAGTGCGCGATGTCATGGAATAAAAAATCCAAATTAACCATATTCACCAAACATATTTTGTTTGACCTAAATAAAAGAATGCAATGGACATCAATTTATTCACATCCCGGATACGGACGAGCCCCCACATGTTCAACCGTTCCGAACCAACATGCATAACCGGATTAAAAAAAACAACAAAGTCGGCCTGAAAATGTCAGGTTCGTACAACAGTGGGCGTGGATCAATGGATACAATTTTTGTTAATTTCTAACATGCTCTGTTAACGACAAAGCAATTCGATTCGTTCAAGCGTGACGGCATAACATTGCAAAAATATGACTGCGGCAATTAAGAATCATTACGACGAATAAATGCCACGAAACAATCTACTCATGTTAAAGTAACACTCATTTTTATTGACTTGACGCTGTCTTCAAAAAAAAAAAAAAAAATTTAAGTGGACGTCTTGAACAATCAGAGCGGAAGTTTGACACGTTCTTACGTCTCCAGTGGCGCTCTATTGGCCCCCCCCAACCCCCAGCCCCCCCCCCCCGCCGCTCACTTCTTGAGACAATTGCCCACGTGACGTGCTGTTACACGTATGGATTTGTTCAGTCCCTGGTTGTTCCTCAATGTAAGGTCGCGCTGCCGTTGAACAAAAACAAAACAAATATGAGCTGCGTTTGAGGCGACAGATATTGAAACGACGAAGAAGTTCATGGGGTAAATTCCTCATGTCAGATAGGGATGGTATTGTCGGGTGTTTTTTTTTGTTTTGTTTTTTTGTTTTTGTTAAGATTATTTATAACAAACTAAAGGAACTTTGAGCTTAACCGCCCCATTATGACGCCGGATAAGTAGAAATCACATGAAGCCAAAATGAACATCAAAGAAACATAAATTCTTTATTTGACAATGGCAAAAACGCTACAAGATGGTGCTGATTTCCACTAAATAAAATTTCTGATAACTGCGATATGTGAGATTTTTTTTAAAAATACCGCAAATGCGTTTGGTGGGTCATATTTTTTTTCTTTCTTACGGAAATAGTCTCAAATTAAATATGGTGTTGTAAATCTGCGTTATAAAAAACGGGTGGGAATTTTAGAATATTAATATAGTTAAGAGGCGGGGAAAAAGGAGTGTGGTTTAGAGTCTGAGGGGGTGGGTGGGTGGGTGGGTAGGACTAATTGGGATCCTTATCAATACGACACTGGAATGCATGTTTCGTCCAGTGACTTTGGTAGATGGGAAGTTCATGCAATTTCGCCCCCCCCCCTCCCACTTGTTTGGAGGCCTATAGCTGTTGGTGTAGTAAATCTGTGGGGTGGAAGGGGCTGGGGCATGAGAATATTATTACAACTTTCTCTTTAAACTGCACTCAAAACATATCTTTTTAAATTATACTACCCTGACTGATTCCCCTCCTCTGACCGATAAATGATCTTGCTGGCTGCCGTCCATGGTTTGCCTTGTAAAAGTTATGTGGTGGGGTGGGTGAATATACATTGCTGTTCTTTTTTTTCATAAATGTATTTTATTTTAATGTCATAATTATGTCTCTTTTGATAAACATGTTTATGTACAGCGCGGTGAGCCCAGCCCTAGACTGGGGTACCGCGCTATATAAGACGTCTTATTATTATTATTATTAACTCTGAGGTGATGGCCTAACAGAGGCTGGGGCGGGGGTAGCAATATTTGTAGTCTTATAAAGGGCTTTACTTGAATGTATGTTTTTCCAATGTTGGTTTAGTAGATGGGATGTTCGAGCATTGCGGTTAACATTGTTTGGCGGGCTGTAGATAGTTGGCTCAAAATCTTCAAAGATGTCGGACAGACGTTATCGGAATAAAAAAATTTCAGTCCTGGGGAAGTCAATAGATCGAGGTGTATATAAGAAGGCGAAAATAAAAATTCACCACCACTGATTCATTCAATAAAAGCTATCTCAAGGTTTCACTTCTTCTTCTTCTTTTTCCGTAGCAAAAATGTCAACTCGATCATCAGTTCCTATTCTAAGAGTGGCTCTGCTCCTCCTTGTGGCATCAGTGGCCTGCCAGGGGGAACAGGAGGACAGCGGGGTAAGATTTGTGTTCCCGTTCTACCCCAGGGAGCTGGACATCCTCATCGGACACTTGCAATCAAAGGTGAGAGACAGCGAGGAGAGTGAGGAAAATGAACGAGAACCGGAAGTGACGTCGTCGAAATTGGATGCGTTTATTGGATTTATGAGGACAGAGGTGAACAATGAGACCAGGGGACGGGGAGAGGCGAGGGGGGGGGGCGGGATTGGGCAAGAAGCAGTGGCGGATAAAAGGAAAATCATGACTAAATGGTGGCAACAAGCTCCAAGTAATTGTAATGTCTATAAACATTAGCGTTTTGAAATAGCGGGAGAGGGGGAAATAATTTCAACAACACTTAGAAGTGGTGTCACGGAAAAGTGTTGTGACAGGATAGTGGCATGACAGGATAGTGAGGTGACATGATCGTGGCGTGGCAGGATAGTGGTGTCAAGGGACAGTTGCGTGACAGGATAGTAGAGCGACAGTACAGTGAGGTGTCAGGATAGTTGCGAGACAAGATAGTGGCTTCAAAGGATAGTGGCGTGACAGGATAGTAGAGTGACAGGATATTGTTGTGACAGGATAGTGGCTTGGCAAGATAGTTGCTTGACAGGATAGTGCGTGACAGGATAGTAGAGCGACATGATAGTTATGTGACAGGATAGTTGCGGGAAAGGATAGTGTCGTGACAGGATAGTGTCGTGACAGGATAGTGTCGTGACAGGATAGTGTCGTGATAGGATAGTGTCGTGACAGGATAGTGTCGTGACAGGAAAGTGTCATGACAGGATAGTGGCGTGACAGGATAGTAGCGTTAAAGGATAGTATCCGAAGACTCAGCAAAACCCGTCTGAAAGTTATTGCGTTGATTTTAAATTTACTAAGCCCTCTGTTCTACATTTGGTAGGAGATGATCCCTCTGTTCTACCATTGGTAGCAGATGATCCCTCTGTTCTACATTTGGTAGGAGATGATCCCTCTGTTCTACATTTGGTAGGAGATGATCCCTCTGTTCTACCATTGGTAGCAGATGATCCCTCTGTTCTACATTTGGTAGGAGATGATCCCTCTCTTCTAACCTTGGTAAGAGATGATCCCTCTGTTCTACCTTTGGTAGGAGATGATCCCTCTGTTCTACCCTTGGTAGGAGATGATCCCTCTGTTCTACCTTTGGTAGGAGATGATCTCTCTGTTCTACCTTTGGTAGGAGATGATCCCTCTGTTCTACCCTTGGTAGGATATGATCCTTCTGTTCTAACCTTGGTAGGATAAGATCCCTCTGTTCTACCTTTGGTAAGAGATGATCCCTCTGTTCTACCCTTGGTAGGAGATGATCCCTCTGTTCTAACTTTGGTAGGAGATGATCCCTCTGTTCTACCTTTGGTAGGAGATGATGAGAAGGTTTTAAAAAACTGATCCTCTGGATGTAGTACCGTGTTTTTCGCCAAGTTGCCGATGCGGTTAAAAATTATTTCAACTTCGTCCAGGGTACTGATTTAATTTACATCAGTTTTATGCCGACTAAAATTGGTCGTATTTTTAATATGATCAAGTATGATATTTTTTTCGGTTTACCTTTAAAATACTATGCAAATTTAGCTACCTCTACGTCCTCAGTGGACAAAATCAAGTCTCACGACCTCGATTAAAAAATATAACTTCAAGTAAATGTCAATATTATTATTTTTTTTCGTTTGTGGTAATAGCGGCATGTCTAAAAAAAAATCAATATTGATTCTTTTTTTTTTTTCTTTCTAATTTGCATGTTAAATATTTAACTTTAACCGTTTTAATTGATGCTAGGACTTAATCGGGTATAGATTTTTTTTTAACATCGGGTCCAGGTACTTTAGGAAAACTCCGCGGTCGATCAAAGTGTTTAACAAAAAAGTTAGCTTCTCCTTTTTATAACATGCAATGAAATCTACATCCCTATGTCGTAGTGATAGTGCATTGCCTTCGTCAACCGTATGTGTCAAGAAATAACCCACTGATAGGAACAGGGCAGTAGCCGGATCCCGGAATAGAGATGACGTTGTACAAAAACACGTCGACAGAGAACTTACTGTCCTTCATATTATAACAAATAGTTTTGATTCATTGATAGATTGGATATTTACATTGCGCTGGTATCCATGCTACTTTAGCATGCTCACTGTGCTCTGCTTTTATAAAACCAATTTAAACAAAATAGTTATTAAATGTTTCTTAAATGATTTGTTATCATTTTCAATTCCCCTCAAAGATTGAGGCAAACTGTTCCGTAATTTTGGCTCCATCGCTTTAAAAGAGCGCCTTCCATAAAAAAAACAACAACTCTGCGTTCATCCACACTGGGAATTTTCAGTAAGGACTGTGTTGAAGGCCACAGGTTCTTTAAGGATAAATGTTTATACATCAGTTCTTTAAGATATTCCAGTGCAGAGCCTTCTATGCAGCTGTACGCCAGGGACAGAATTTTTTAGTTAATGCGCTCAATCACAGGAAACCAATGGAGAAATTTAAGAACTGGGGTGATGTGATCAGATTTCTTTATCAGCGATACAATGCGACACTTGAACGCAAGTTACATAACAACAGTCGGTGTTTAACACAAATAGCAACTACCTGAGTCCTGACGTAACGCCTGACCCTCGCAGTGTGACAGAATCCTGACGTAACGCCTGACCCTCGCAGTGTGACAGAATCCTGACGTAACGCCTGACCCTCGCAGTGTGACAGAATCCTGACGTAACGCCTGACCCTCGCAGCGTGACAGAATCCTGACGTAACGCCTGACCCTCGCAGTGTGATAGAGGAAAACAAACAATAACAACACCGGATAATAGTCGACCCTCCCCCCCCCAACTAAAGAAATTTCTTTACCAGAGTTCACACGTCACGCAGAACAGCCTTTTTCCCACTCGGTACTTACAATGTGAAACATGTGGAGTTGGGGGGGGGGGAGACGGTTTCGAAAAGGAAGCAAGACACATCGGAAGCAAATTATGCGTAAGAGATTAATTCTCTCCTTCCAGCTTCTCTAGGACGGTTAAGAAACATGTTCACCACGATCTGTGGTCTTTATCTTTTTGTTGAAGTTGACATTCCTTACTCCCCAATGGANTGGGGGTCGAGCTCTGTTGTGGGTCCTCTCCGCACAAATTTGTGTCTGCTCTAGGTCATCTCCATCTCCACGCTGAACTGGGTGAAAATAAAAAAAAAGGGGAAGAAGTGTGTTTGAGTGTTTGATGCAAAGTGTTTACAGAAATGTGTTAACTATTGTCACCCAACCATCTTCTCGACTAGGCAGTAGAAATGCTTGTACCAGGCACGTACATTATATAATTGTCGGTGGCAACAAAGATGTAGAAGAGTGGGACCACATATCTGTTAGAATTTTGGGCAACATATCAGTAAGAAGATTGGGGCAACATATCTGTAAGAAGACTTAGCCCGCGCATCTGTAAGAAGATTGAGCAAAATATCTGTAAGAAGATTGGGGCAAGATATCGTTAAGAAGATTGGGCAACATATATGTAAGAAGATTGGGGCAACATAGTTGGAAGACGAGTGTGACAGCCTATCTGGCAGAAGAGTTGGGCCAATAAAGACGCAGAAGAGTGCGGCGATAAAGAGGTTATAGAAGAGTGAGGCATTAAAGACATAAAAGAGTGGGGCAATAAAGAGGTAGAAGAATTGGGCAAATAAGAGCTAGAATATTGGGGCAATAAAGAGGTAGAAGAATCGGGCAAATAAGAGCTAGAATATTGGGGCAATACAGAGGTAGAAGAATTGGGCAAATAAGAGCTAGAATATTGGGGCAATAAAGAGGTAGAAGAATTGGGCAAATAAGAGCTAGAATATTGGGGCAATAAAGAGGTAGAAGAATTGGGCAAATAAGAGCTAGAATATTGGGGCAATAAAGAGGTAGAAGAATTGGGCAAATAAGAGCTAGAATATTGGGGCAATAAAGAGGTAGAAGAATTGGGCAAATAAGAGCTAGATTATTGGGGCAATAAAGAGGTAGAATGATGGAGCAATAAAGAGGTAGAAGAGTTGAGCAACATATCTACTAGAAGAGTTAGGACAACAGAGCTGGTAGAAGAATGAATATACTAATTCTTTAAAAAATTGAATGTACCAATTGTATTTTTACACGCGTTTACTTAGCATGCAATTTCGTATGTATGTTTGTTTGTCTGTCTGGGTCAAATCTTGAAACTCATTTTGCAAACTGTTCCCTTCGTCCGATGGACTTGAAATTTTACTTGTTTATTCAATCCCGGTGACATTAGAGCCCGTCACCGACCCTTGAGTGACCTCTGCTGTTTAAAGCTTGCATTTCATTTTAACACACTTTCTGATCTTCAGTTGAGCTGAATCTTTGTGCACCTACCCAACACCCGATGACAACAACAAAAAAACAAAAAACAAAAAAAAACAACCTGCTTGATCAGTAGGTCACCTTCATTTACTTTAAAGTGGTCTCTTTATTGCATCTCAATTTTGACCCACTTCCTGATCTTCAATTGACCTGGAACGTCGTACATATACCCACCATTGATGACCATAAGGCAAGAAGTAATGATTGATAAATCCCAATAAACACTGAAATTAAATAACTTTTAAAATACGGTTTTTATTAAAATGCACTACAAATTAAAACAAATTTTTTGTGACACACCAATATTTTATTGACAATCAATAGACTCTCCCAAAACTAAATTATCATGGGCGTCAAACATGGAAAAAAATGGAGAAAAATAAGCAACACCTAAAAACATAAGATACAAGGGAGGTGGAACAAACAGAGAGACCGCTTGAACGCAGTTTTGTATTTTTCTTCAATGTTGTGGAGCGCAACTTCTGAGAGCGCGGCGAGTCCAAATTTTAGCGTCTCAAACATAGAGATCATTTTGGGAACGCTGTTCTGAGTTAAATTTAAAAGGATATCCGTGATTAATCTGTCTGCAAACTGAGTTGTTTTTTTGGGGTAGTATTTCCTTACATGTTTGACGCCCCTGATTTTATTTTTGAAAACATGATTCATTGTTTGAGAATTCTGGTGAGTCTAAAAAAAAACGTACGTTTTACTTTTCAGTGCATTTTAATAAAATCTTCTTTCTTTTGTTTTTTTAATGTGTCATGAAATAATTTTATTTAAAATTAATTTATTACACATTTAATTTTGAGCGCTGAGCAGTGAGAAATTATTTACCATCTCCAGAGGTCCAGCTCCGCGCCAAATCCCTTCATTTAAGGATATTTTAAAAGCAGATTAGGTAAAGACTGGCCTAACAATGAAATAATAAACAGTAAATAAAGAGATGTCAGCCCTGGGCAAAAACGAGAGACTAACGTAAGTGACAATCTGATGAAGGCTCAACACACCACCTGGATGTTTAGGGCTAAAATATCGAGATCATTTGATTAATTTGATTATTTCTTTCCAGAATTCCATGACCAATAGCAATATTTTAACGATATAATGTTTTTAGAAATGGATACCTGCTTAGACGATCTCACAAAAATTAACCAAGTTGGCACATAACACAAGACAGATGATAGAAATAGTAGATACCGGGAGGCAGTGCCAAGAGTGTGGGAAGAACCAAAACATTTTATTTGAAGCTTTGGCTAGTTTAAAAAAAAAAATTAAAAAAAAAGAAATCAGTGTTCTTTGAATTTTAATTAGCAGCAGGAGATGTTTTCACGTTAACATTTCTTCCACATCATTTCTGTTCCGGTGAAGTTTTTTTGTTCTCTTAATTCTGTTCAGTTCATTGAAAGGGAAAACTGTATCGTAATAAAGCGCTCTGTATTTACCAAAATGTTTAGCTAAATATTACACTTAATACTCTCCCGACCTTGTATATGGCCCAATAGTTGTTTTGTTGTTTTCTAATGCCTCAGCTGTAGACACAGACATTGAAAGAAATATTGACTTCCAAAAAAAAAAAAACCACCATTGACCTAGGGAACTATGGTCCAGGTGATAACTCGTGAGATTACACTGGCCGCGAATTCGTCATCGGCACTGAAACAAACACACGGGCGCACATGCTGACAGAGATAGCGGTTATTTGCGATGGGGTGACTTACTGAACCAGCGTGATCATTCTCGAATCCACTCAGAGGTTTTGGCAGAGCACACAAACATAATAGTTGAGTATGTGCAGTCACGTGACGATCCGGAACAGCTCAATTTTCAAGCCTAGTTCAGTCATAACCTTTTATAAGTTCAAATAGGCAAAGAGTGAAAAAAAAAAAATACTAACGGTAAATATCAAGACATTACGCTTAGCCGTCTTATTATTTAGCCACCCCTGGGTTTTGGATTATTGAGTACTAAATCTTTTTTTTTAATTTTTATTTAGGTAACTGGCGTTATAGTTTTCCAAGGAGGCCACAGAGCACGCCTTAAGAACCAGTGGAGGGGAGACGTTTCTTTCTGTGTTTTCTGTGTTTTTTCTGTGTGTGTGTTTTTTTGTTTTTTTTTTGTATTTTTTCTGTGTTTTCTTTCTGTGCTTTTGTTCTCTGTGGAAACCTAAAGAATGACAGAGCTCATTTTTTTTTTTTTTTTTTTTTTTTTTTTTTGTTTTTTTTTTTTTTTTTTTTTTTTTTTTTTTTTTTTTTTTTTTTTTTTTTTTTTTTTTTTTTTTTTTGTAAACATAAAAAATTTAATAGTTCCCCCCCCCCCCCCCCAAAAAAAAATCGATTCAACTCAAACGTTAACATTGATTTTGTTTACTGTGTTGCCAGATTTAAGTGGGGTGTGGGGGGGCGGGGGGCTGGGGGGTTGAGCTGAGACATGGGGTCGTGGAGCTGAGACATGGGGTCGTGGAGCTGAGACATGGGGTCGTGGAGCTGAGACATAGGGTCGTGGAGTTGAGACATGGGGTCGTGGAGCTGAGACATGGGGTCTTTGTTTAACAACCTACGCAAAGTCGTATTTTAATTGTTCGTTTACTCCAGTTCAGTTTTATCGGATTTATTCGGATTTCGTGTCGAACGTTAGATGTCTGAGTCGTAAGACCAGAGGTGGGGCAGGGTGGGGGGACAGATGTCCCCGGGCGCCAGCTAGTTAGGGGCGCCAAAATGTGCTTTGATATTATTTTATTGATGAAAATAATGGGTTTGGGAGTTGAAAAAAAATAAAAAGGGGCGCTAAAAATGGATCTTGTCCCGGGGCGCGAATCTTGTCCCCGGGCGCCAAACACCCTCGTTACGCCACTGCGTAAGACTAACAGTTCGAAGACATGACAGGCCCGGTTAATTGACACGATAGATTGATGTCATAGAGCCTGGGTTAACCATGTTCATCAAAGGATTTTTTTTATCAATGTCCGATTTTTCGCGTGCAGTTTGCCAATACTACCGTTACATATCAAGGTTTGACCCATGTCCGATTCTTGTAATGAAGTTTTCGGAGACGACAAATATCTATCAACTTAAAAAAGAGTCGACTATTATTTTTTTTTCAGCTTTACAAGGTGAAGACAACGCTAGACACATGCAAGGAAATCAATGATGGGAACCATAAAGCAGGTAGGCCACGCCCCGAATAAATGAGGGTCGTTGTTCTGTGAGAGATCCCAATATACAGACACACCCATATATGGTCTTATTGTTCACGTGCTTGAGAGCAGAATTCCTTGACATTGTAAGATCACATCTTGAGAACAAACGTTTCCATACATTTTCGGTTGCAGCCAGATTTATGAAAAAAAAAATATTTATTCAACTAGGAGCCAAGACCCCTTGCCGGACGTGAGAACCCCTTGCCAGATGTGAGAAACCCTTGCCAGGTGCGAGATGTAAAAAAAAAATCCAATAGAAAAAAAATGATATATGAACCTAAACACTTGTAAAGATTAAAGGAACTGAACATTTGACCCCAAGGAAAAGTTGGGGAGAGCTCGACAGTGTTTGGGAAAATTATAATAGATTTTTTCAAACAATTACATTTTTACACCAAGAGCTATTGCAGTAAAAATGTGTGTACTTTCCTTCGCAAAAGTCTGGTACTCACTGAGCGTGAACGTTCTAAAATGTTCTAGACATTTCATTTATTGGTATTGAATTATATTTTTTTTAATAACACATTTAAGCCTGTATTACTTAGCTTTCGATATGGGACATTCCGTGCACTATCCATGCACATTTCGAAAAACCTATCCATTTAAGAATATTGATATCATCACTCGCGTGAAGAATTGATATCATCACTCGCGTGAAGAATTGATATCATCACTCGCGTGAAGAATTGATATCATCACTCGCGTGAAGAATTGATATCATCACTCGCGTGAAGAATTGATATCATCACTCGCGTGAAGACATGAAGTTGGCTTGAAATTTGCTGGGAGGTGAATTTTATTTGATAACTAATTGATGAATGGGTGAATCAATAGTTCAATGTCGTTGTATTGATTTTAATGTAAGCTTCAAGATTTTCCCGATAAGTGCAGCAGAGAGCGGTCTGCTTTATTTGAATAGGGAAACCCTATTGAATTACAAGATGAAAGGTTGTGTATAATAAGTTATATGCTGAATGAGTCAAATAAACTGTGTGTGTGATATTTGAAATTTGACTTAGTGACAGACACGGTCGTTTTGAAAAGGAAGAATATAAATATACAATGAATAATTCCGATCTGTAGCAAGTGAAATACTGCAAGTGCAGGGCAAAGTATAGATCTATAAATGTATCCGTTTTATTTATTTTTTTTTTTTATCCTTGTTGAATGTAAACGAGGAGGTGAAAGCCAGAAGCCTTTCTGAAGTGAATTGTTTTCAAAGAATTAAGTTCTTCAGTAAACAAGAAATCTTTATCCTGATGCAATAGCCTTTTTTTTGGGGACATGACCCTCTTTCGGCCTGAGGTCACGGTGGATATTTTTGCAACTCTCCCTTGTTTCCGTTTGAGGGTCTTTTTGTAGTCCGTCTTTTGTGGTAGCGATTTCAGGCGTAGTTACCTGAGTTCTGGGTTGTGAAATAAGTGATGTGGTATTATAAAAAAAATATATTGATGGATATATGCGATAAATAAATGTGTTTCTTTCCCCCACTCTAGAAAACAAATGTGAAATTTTCTTAAGACGCCATTATTTTTTTTTTTAAATATAAAATTATTTTTTTTTTTATATATTCAATTTTTGTTTCAGTTTGGGTTCAATTTTAATTTAACCTTTTACTTGTAATGTTTTCCCATTTACGTGGTTTTCAATTAATTATTGTTTACAATCATTCATTTAAACTATCCACGTTTTTTAAAATGAAATATTCTTAAACAATGATTTAAATACCTAATCCAGGCAGCTACGTAGTCAACATATATGATAACGGGAATGCTTCTGTTGCACCACGTGGTCGAGTCAGTAAGCTGGAAACCATTGCAAAGCTGAGGGAAGATATCGAATCCGCGGAGTCGGAGCTTGAAAAATGCCGCTTTCAGTTCTGGACCGGCGACAACTCTTAAGGTGGGTCTCAAAATGTAAGTGATCATAGCCCGGATGTACGACTAGCTTCAAATATTACAGGTAAAACTGTCAATGTACAAATAGCTTCAAGTGCTACAGGTAAAACTGTCAATGTACGAATAGCTTCAAGTGTTACGGGTAAAACTGTCAACGTACGAATAGCTTCAAGTATTGCAGTTAAAACTGTCAATGTACGAATAGCTTCAAATAGTGTTACAGGTAAAACTGTCAATGTACTAATAGCTTCAAGTGTTACAGGTAAAAGTGTCAATGTACGAATAGGTTCAAGAGTTACAGGTAAAACTGTCAATGTACGAATAGCTTCAAATAGTGTTGCACTTAAAACTGTCAATGTACGAATAGCTTTAAGTGTTACGGGTAAAACTGTCAATGTATGAATAACTTCAAGTGCTACAGGTAAAAATGTCAATGTACGAATAGCTTCAAATAGTCTTACAGGCAAAACTGTCAATGTACGAATAGCTTCATATTGTGTTACAGGTAAAACTGTCAATGTACGAATAGCTTCAAATAGTCTTACAGGCAAAACTGTCAATGTACGAATAGCTTCAAATAGTGTTACAGGTAAAACTGTCAATGTACGAATAGCTTCAAATGGTGTTACAGGTAAAACTGTCAATGTGCGAATAGCTTCAAATAGTCTTACAGGCAAAACTGTCAATGTACGAATAGCTTCAAATAGTGTTACAGGTAAAACTGTTAATGTAGGAATAGCTTCAAATGGTGTTACAGGTAAAACTGTCAATGTGCGAATAGCTTCAAATGGTGTTACAGGTAAAACTGTCAATGTACGAATAGCTTCATATTGTGTTACAGGTAAAACTGTCAATGTGCGAATAGCTTCAAATAGTGTTACAGGTAAAACTGTTAATGTAGGAAAAGCTTCAAGTGCTACATTTAAAACTGTCAATGTACGAATAGCTTCAAGTGTTACAGGTAAAACTGTCAATGTACGAATAGCTTCAAGTGTTACAGGTAAAACTGTCAATGTACGAATAGCTTCAAGTGTTACAGGTAAAACTGTTAATGTAGGAATAGCTTCAAATAGTGTTACAGGTAAAACTGTTAATGTACGAATAGCTTCAAGTGTTACAGGTAAAACTGTTAATGTACGAATAGCTTCAAGTGTTACAGGTAAAACTGTCAATGTGCGAATAGCTTCAAATAGTGTTACAGGTAAAACTGTTAATGTAGGAATAGCTTCAAGTGCTACATTTAAAACTGTCAATGTACGAATAGCTTCAAGTGTTACAGGTAAAACTGTTAATGTACGAATAGCTTCAAGTGTTACAGGTAAAACTGTTAATGTACGAATAGCTTCAAGTGTTACAGGTAAAACTGTCAATGTACGAATAGCTTCAAGTGTTACAGGTAAAACTGTCGAGGTTAGTTTTCATGTATCAAGGTTATAAGTGGTTAGGTTTCAAACAGCGACGTCTGAACAGGTGTGACGATCAGTTTCCCTCGGCCAGACGGTGAACCAGGTAGAGCTGGTCAAGTTTCGACACGCCACAAGGTGAACAGGTACGATGATAACGGCTCCAATAGCAGCAGGGAGCTCCAGATCTTGTCGAGCGATTTTAGCTCAAAATCTCACTGTTCATGGCGTGGAGGGTAAAAAGGGGGGGGGGGGTTAGTGTTAAGCATCTTTCTCGCGGTGATTTTATCATTTAAACCACAGTAGAAATGACGCCACAAGGTGAACAGGTACGATGATAACGGCTCCAATAGCAGCAGGGAGCTCCAGATCTTGTCGAGCGATTTTAGCTCAAAATCTCACTGTTCATGGCGTGGAGGGTAAAAAGGGGGGGGGGGTTAGTGTTAAGCATCTTTCTCGCGGTGATTTTATCATTTAAACCACAGTAGAAATGCGTAAGTTAATGTTGACGTAGAATGACAACTGAGTCATTATAATCTCAGAGATTCTGAAACGGGGAATCCGCCGTCTCCTGGGACGGGGGACGACTAATAAAAAATTGTTTTTTGAAGCTATTGCTAGTTTGTTCTGCATCTTTGAAGATAAAAAAAAAAAAAAATTAGGGTTGTTTGCATTTTGATAAGCAGCAGTAGATGTTGTCGAGGGATATTTTGTGCGTGTATAATTTTTGGACTGCTGAATTTATTTTCTTAATTCTACCCAGTGATTAAATGAAGAAAAGTAACCAAGCAAAACAATTATCTTCATATTTATTTATTTAATTACATACAATTTATCCGGTTGTGGGCTGAGGGCTTGGAGATGGGCTAGTGCTAGAAAAATATTGAAATCCAGAAGGATGCAGCAAAAAAAAAAAAGTAAAGTTACAGGAAACATGTTCGAAAGCAAAGACTATTTGTTTATCCCCATAGACAAAGAGTGTCCAAAAAAATGGCAGTTTACAATCCTTACAATTTTTTAACATCAGTTTTGTTTTAATTTTTTTCAAAATACAATGAAGACTCCTGTAAAAGCGAGATAACGCTGAATCAATAAGTTGTGTCTCTCAAAATGTCACTATAGCGTCACTGCTAATGGCGAGGGGCAGGTAGAGCACGACTCAAACTTAGTTATACCGAAGCCGGTTTTTTTTTCCCCATTAAGATAGGATTATTTTATTGATCCAAATAAATTGAAATGTTTTTGTTTTTTTTTATTCTTACATATTCATTTCGGCACATAAATAAATAAATATTTTATCCATGACAAAATTTTACATTCACAAGACATCTAAAGTATTTCTCTAGCGTAGACTTCATCCACAAAAGAACTCCCTCAGTAACAATAATGACTTAAATAGTGATCATTTCGGTTTGCTGACCGCCGGAGGACATGAACGAGAAAAAAAGGGAGTTTTAAAGAAATAAATGTACATTAAATTCTTTTTATGGAACCTCATAATATAAGAAATGGGGTCTTACATAAAATTCATCCAAAACATGTACCACCATCTTCCCCTCTCCTCTTCCCTATACGCTTCTAGTTGTGAGGCACACAATAGTAAGAACTGAAATTGAATATCAACATAAGAACCTATACGACCTATACAAAATCCATTTTTTTTCCACTTATTTTTTTTCGTATTATGAAATGCTTTGTAGTTTAGTTAAACGATTGCTAAGTTGTGCTTTTTTAAACATTAGTATGTATCTTGCGTACCACTAATTGTGTGTCTGTTTGGGGGGGGGGGGTGTGGGGGGTAAAATCACAACACTATTCTGCATGCGTAAATCTTCTAAACTTTCCTTTTGTTTATTTGTTGTTGCGTTTTTTTTTCTTGCGCTTTACGATTGATTTTGCCAAATTTGTCTCTCATTCCATGTTTATTTCATTTTTTCTTATTATAGATTCCAAAGGTACAACTGTGCTCTCAAACAAGGAGATCTATCATGTTGTCTTAAATGGTGAAACAGATCTATCAGATCTCATCAAAAGTAAAGACTTTCCTATCTCGAGACGATTGGTTTTCTTCTAAATTTTATACCAGATGTTATTATATTTCATTCAAATAAAGTTGTTTGAAGTCTGTCTTTGGGGACACAAGACTATGTATATAAAATAATAAAGACGCATAAAAAGGAGTTAATCGGAGGTCTTTGTTGTTTAAGGGTTGTTTTATATTAAGACACTTGTTGGTACGCTGTGTATAAATTATGTTTTATTTCAAACTTTTTTAAAACTAAGCCTTATTTTTAACTACGCAAATATGTGTCATCATCTGCAGTATCCGCTCTATTCTTTCCATTTAACACTCTACACGTGTATATGATTTGTCATTGGCGGAGATCTATTAATAGAAAGATCCGGGGGCCTACAGTCTGGGCAATCTCATTAAGATGTTAATAAAACATCCTGGTCTTCCATCTGGCCATTCTCTCAACAGCTGTTCTAGTACTTACACGTTAATGTGAGACTGAATCTAGATGAAACTATGTTTACAGCGTTTTTTTTTACGAAAGAATTTACCAGCAAATTTTTACTGTTTTATATATGCATAAATATATTGTTAGAGGTCATGTTTAACAAGAACATTTTCTAAAAATAGTAACGTGACGTAATGCGATGTGACGTTTTCCGGTCTTAGAAATGACAAACGCTGCTGTGATCCTTTCGTGACCGGAAGTTGATAGATGCATAGAGGTGACTGGCGTGACGTCAAACCGCGGGACACTGGTCATGTTTATGTACATTTTTCACTTAAATTTGGGAAGTTTCCTTGCGGGCAATCTTAAGTTGAAGTCGGACAGGTTGACCACATTCTGCGTTGCACTTCACAGACTGTTTAACATGATACCGTGTCTTAACCCCTTTAAAAAATTCACTTCTTTTTTTCTATTTCAACGCTACACGTTTTAAATTCAATGTTTTTTTTTTGTTGTTGTTTTTTTTGGTCAAATCATCAGAAAATTGTGGGGGCTAGAGTCTGTGAAGGAGAGGAGGTGTTACTGTTATCTTCCCAGACCTGTTAAACCCTGGGTTAGTGTCAGAGTAGAGTTCAGCTCTCAAAAATAAACGTAGTTTCAAGCTCCAAATAGGAGTTGGGTCAATTAGCGGGGAAAAAATTGGCGGGGGGGGGGGGGGTGTTGGTTTTGCAATCAAAATAAATGTTACGAAAGGTAATCCACCCCAACTGTTTTTAGAAGTCAACACAAATAAATATACAGGATATGGTATTTTGATTGGTTTCTTAAGGATGAAGTGTCAGAGTAGAGTTCAGCTCTCAAAAATAAACGTAGTTTCAAGCTCCAAATAGGAGTTGGGTCAATTAGCGGGGAAAAAATTGGCGGGGGGGGGGGGGCTGCTGGTTTTGCAATCAAAATAAATGTTACGAAAGGTAATCCACCCCAACTGTTTCTAGAAGTCAACACAAATAAATATACAGGATATGGTCTTCTGATTGGTTTCTTAAGGATGAGAATGGAATAGGTCATAGGCAAGCACATTGGCAGTTAAAAATTAACAACGCACTTCTGGAAAAGAAAAAAAGAAATCTGATCGGTTCATTTAGATCGAAAATTTCAAAGGCCAATAACTGTTATCCTTATTCGATGGCTTAATGTGTTAACGCAACAAAAAACATTGCAGTACTTTTTTTTTTTTTTTTTTTAACCGAAAACACCCAATTATTAATTTTTTTTTTTAATTAAAAAAAAAAACAAAAAAAGGGGGGGGGGGGATCACGAAACCGTAGAGTTTAGGCTCGTGGTAGTGCCGTACTCTAAGGCTTAATAACGTAGTCACCACGGCGGAAGCGTAGGGGTAAACAGGTCTGTATTCCACTAGGATTTTTGTTGTTGTTGAAGTATAGTAGATAAAATCAACATTACACGTGAAATACATATTATAATGTGTGTGATCGTGTGTAGTATATTCTAATTTTTGAATTACAACAGTTTGGGTGACGTCACGTCTCATCTTAAAGGACGATACATGAAGTATACCAGCTGCAGGCCTGCTTGAAGAGACAAACTGGTAAATGGAATTCCTGGATTAGACTCTCCTTGTTTTACACCGACAGCCTGCCGGTCGACTATTTCGGGTCAGGATACATTACGCCCGAGAGGTCCGTGCACCTGATCAGAGTCCCAGTCTATTTTTAGCCGTGCTTGAAGGGGCCTTCGGATCTACTGGTAACGTGAGATTTTGCTGGCAAAAATTAAGACCTTCGTTATAGCATGAAAGAGACACGATTGGGAGGAGAGCGGGGGGGGGGGGGGGGGGGGGGGGGGGGGGGCTATTGCACTCTAATACAAAGTTGGTTTAAAATAGGTCAAAGGTCACGTTCCTCGTTAGTATGACCTTATCATATGGTACAACTCTAAATGGTGCAGTCCTGCGTTGATGATATTTGTGTCTTGATGAAGTTAATGACAAACACGTGACCCTGTTATTACTCATAGGATAAATATTTGGAGCTATTTTTATTCAAGTCAAATACAGACACACACTTGAACAATGTCGTGAATAGACCAACGTGAAAGGACTGTTTGAAAGAGACTTCTTAAATTTTCGCCCCATATATCTAAGTCCAAAAAACAATATTGCCAACCAACGTTGCATTTAACCCTTTTTTTCCCAAGCAATGACAAGTCTTAAATCATCTCAGCTTTACAGAAGTGTATCCAAAATATATAATCTAAGAATATCTGGATTCTCCAGATGTCGCCTTAAAAAATAACATTAACAACTTCAACGTGTACACTAAGTACATTGTTTTGTACGACGTGTTTATCAAACCAACCGCGTGTACAAGGCGGGTGTACAAGAACACATATCATAAAGAAATTCAAGAAATCATTGTATTGATCGACTAAAGGTGCCCATTACATAGAATGTCTCACCTAGTGGAGGGGGGGCATACTTCACCCACTGCACCACTTTTTACACCACTGGGTATTTATCTGTAGTAGCAGCCAAGACCAAAGCAATGACCATGACCCAATACCCCCTATCAATCTTGACCCTTTTATTGACTTGTATGGCATTCAATAGAGGAAACAAAATGTAACTAAACTTTTGGGATCAGCCCATTAAAAAAATGTATCTAATCCCTCAGGGTCAACCCATTAACAAAATGTATCTAATCTCTCGGGATCAAATCATTAATATTGTATCTAATATTGCCTCTATATCAAATTTAGATACAATAACAATGGTTTGATCCCAACCCATTAAAAAATATTTCGAAACTATCGGGATCAGCCAATCTGACAAATTAGAATCAGTGGAACCCACCACAACTCCGACGTTCATTTCGCTTGACGTTCTAAGAATACTCCGTTTGATGACGTGTTCTGTTCTATAAATACTGCTCATCAGTTGAATGAACGTGACAGACAAGTAAGTGAGTCATATCTCGAGTATAATCACCGGACTGTTCTCCTGTTGGGTACGCGCTTGCCTTCTCCTTAAATACCAAAGTCATGACTTGGACATTTTAAGCTCACAATTCAAGTGTTTTCTTTTTAATTTTTTTTTTTAAAAGCCAAATAAAGACGTTCAGACTTTCATCTCACAAAAATTATTTTTAACTCTTTGTGTGGGGATTGTGTAAACACACAGTTTTTTTGTTTAAAAAAAACAACACACCCTCACACAAATCGTCCAGTTGACCCCTTTCTGACCCACAACAGACATTGGCACAAATCGTCCAGTTGACCCCTTTCTGACCCACAACAGACATTGGCACAAATCGTCCAGTTGACCCCTTTCTGACCCACAACAGACATTGGCACAAATCTGATCTTGTACGCCACTAGTAAAACATCTCACATCTAGATAACATCTCTGATCTAGATCACATCTCAAATTTTCATAATAACATCTCACATCTAGATCACATCTCACAATCTAGATAACATCTCACAATCTAGATAACATCACACATCTAGATAATATCTCAAAATCTAGATAACATCTCACATTTAGATAACATCTCACATCTAGATAATATCTCACAATCTAGATAACATCTAGATAACATCTCACATCTATATAACATCTCACATCTAGATAACATCTCACATCTTGATATCATTATCTGGCATCAAGACTTAACGTTGCTGGGTTTTTTTTAATCTAGTTGTGAAATACCGTAGTGTTCTGGGCAGAGGCCGCCTCTAATTAAAAGCCTCACTATTTGTAATTGTTTTTAATTTATTTTTTTTAATATTAAATTTTTATTTGCCCCCTTTTTAAAAAAAAATTTTCTCTTCAAAATTGCTTTAACGTCTGAAAACCTTATTTTCAAGACTTACAAGACTGTTATAAAAAGTGGCCTCATATACTCCTGAGCAATAGGGTGAACAGAATGGCAATACTGTTCAACACTTTATACTTGAATTAGTGGCAGCTGGAATATTTTAAAGACAAGTTTGTTGTTGTTGTTGTTTTTTTTCTCAAATAAAAACAACGGGTGTTACAGACAGAAACATCAATCACCAATGGGTGCACTGAGACAGCAGCACCAACAGCAATGTCATTTCTCATTAAAGCCGAAAAAAAATATCATTGAAAATTGAACGGGGTCCAGGGGGGAAAAGGTAATTGAGAACTAGGACTTTAATTAAGAAAATCTATTTTAGGAAATGGAGAAAAAAATTGGAGTGTCAATTGGTGAAACTTGGGAAAGTCTATTTTGAGACTTAAGCTTCTGGGAAATTCGAGTTTATGAGTAAAAATTTGAGAATATTTTTTTTTAGAATTTATCTTCTGGGAAATTTGAATTTATAAGTGAAAATTTGAGAAAATCTATTATAGACTTTAGCTTCTGGAAAATTCGAGTTTATAAGTAAAAATTTGAGAAAATATATTTTATCTGTTTCATCTTGTTTCTTTTTCCATCTAATTCTAAGGCGCATTATTGCGTTTGAAAGAATTGCCAGAATTATGACTAGACTGTGGGGTACGAGACTATGGGGTTCGTGAATATAGGATACGAGAATGTGGGGTACTAGATTATGGGGTACGAGACTATGAGGTACGAGAGTATGGGGTACGAGACTATGAGGGACGAGACTATGAGGTACGAGACTATGAGGTTCGAGACTATGGGTTATGAGAGTGTGGGGTTTGAGACTTTGGG